AAAAAAAAAAAAAAATTGTATCTATTAAAAAGTAAATATATTGTTGTTGGGGGGTTTTTGGGGACAAGGTGGACAGAGAACTTCATTATGAAAAAAATAGATTTTTTGTGATGATAAAAATGATCATAAAAACTTAAATTTTAAACATAAATTTGATTAATTTGTGACAAAAAATATAAATTTTTATAGCTAATTCTTTATCACAATGCCTATTTTTTTTAGTGTTAAAAGGAGAAGGACAAACTTTTAAGGGTAGTTCAATAGTTAAAAATTTGATATATCAAGTTAGAGATATTATGTTTAAATTTTGAGTCAACTGAGAAAGAATTTAAGAAAAGAGAGGATTATCTTTTGTAATATAATTCATTAAGATAAAAGAAGAAGAAGAAGAAGAAGAAGAAGAGAGAAGAAGAAGAAGAAGAGAGAAGAAGAAGAAGAAGAAGAAGAAGAAAGGCAAAATTCTACTTTGAGTCCCTCACCTTACCAAATTTGAAGGTTTTAGTTTTTTACCTTATATTATGACATTTTTAGTCATTTACCTTACGAGATTTGTAAATTTTAACCTTTCATCTATTAAAATCGAAGAAAATAATCCTCACTTTATACTGACTGTTAACTCTGTTAGCTGAAAATAGATTTTTGTTAACTAATAGTCAAGTAATAGTCAGTTAGTAGAATTAACGAAATATTATAAAATTAATTCTGTTAACTCTTTTAGTTGAAAGAAAGTTTTTATAAACTAATAGTCAACTAACAATTCATTAATAAAGTTAACAGTCAGCTAATAAAACTAACAAAATATTATAAAATGAGGACTATTTTATTCAATTTTAATAGATGAAAGGCTAAAAGTATCATAATATAAGGGGAGGGGTTAAAACTTATAAATTTAGTAAGATTAGGAGTTAAAAATATCATAATATAAGATGAGGGATTAAAATTTTTAAATTTGTTAAGGTGAAGGGCTAAAAGCAAGCTTTTAGCGAAGAAGAAGAAGAAGAAAGAGAAGGAGAGACGCCCGAGTACTTTTCTCATCTAATGTGTATTTAATACAACAAAATCTTTCAATCATTTAATACTTTTCTCACCAAATGTATATTTAATACAACAAAATCTTTCAATCATTTAAAGCAAGATTACATTTAAAGATATGTTGTCATTCTGTGCAGCTCATATGGCAATCACTTTGCTGCTACTGTGTTGCGTTTTGACATCACAACTCCAACAATTGTCTTATAAATTAGGTTTTATAAGGTGTAAGTCTTAAATTAACATCTAAAAGTATTAATTTTATTAAATGCATTAGGATAATAAGACAATATGTTTTTAAAATCATTTGAGGTCAATTAATTTTAAAATGTACGAATACTAATTTAAGGGCACTTTGATTGAAAAAAAAAAAAAAAACGTCACCATAAATAGCTTGATTTCCTCTACCTAGCTGCACCAAAACGTTGGTAATTTGCATTAGCACAATGTCGGCAAGCCAACTGCCTATTCCTCTTTACAAGAAAGTTTTCTTAAAGTACACTTCTCATAGAGTTTTGGACGTTGTCATCCTTGTCCTCCTCCTCTCTCTTCTCCTTCATCGTCTCCTTTCCCTCAACGATCACGGATTTTACTGGCTCCTTGCTTTCCTTTGTGAGTCCTGGTTCACCTTCTACTGGTTTCTCGTGGTTAACAGCAAATGGAATCCCGTTCAATATATAACGTATCCAGAAAACCTGAACAAAAGGTCAAAATTAATAGTTTCTAACTTCTTTGTTCTTTTAACATACATGTTTTTTATTTCATTTGTGTGTTTCCAACCATTTTATTTTCCTCAGATTCTCAGAACTTCCTCCAGTAGACATGTTCGTGACGACTGCAGATGCGGTGCTGGAGCCTCCAATCATCACAGTGAACACTGTTCTGTCTTTGTTGGCAGTGGATTACCCAGCTAACAAGCTTACTTGCTATGTGTCAGATGACGGATGTTCTCCGCTTACCTTTTACTCCCTCCTCCAAGCATCCAGATTTGCTAAACACTGGGTTCCCTTTTGTAAGAAGTAAAAAATTCAAGTTCGAGCTCCCTTCAGATACTTTTTGGTTAAACCTACATTTTCCAAAGATAATGCTAAGTTTCAACAAGAGTGGGTAAAGATGAAGGTACATATACAGTTAAAAGTTATATATTAGAGCTTTTATCTATTTATTTATTTAAAAAAAAAAAAAGGAGGATGAGAATCATTATTAGAAAATCAGAGTAAAAATTAAGATAATTCAATTAATTGTTTAGGAATCATTAACGTTTCGAAAATTTATAATGTTTTTCTTAGGGATGGAGCAATTTTTATTAGAACATGTTACTGGGTAGAAAATGAGTGAGTGGTTGACTGAATTAATTACCGTTCCGTTTGATAGGAGGAGTACGAGCAGCTTCGTGAAAAGATAGAAAATGCGGCCAAAATGTCAACTCCTTTGGATGAAACGGGAGAGCTTGCTGTCTTTGCCGAAGTAGAACGTGGAAACCATCCAACTATAGTCAAGGTATGAGTAAATTCGCAAGATTCATGAATAATCATTATGGATTTACATTAGGAATCATGTTTTTTTTTTTTTTTTTTTGGTTTTCTGCCTGGTATCTGGGACTTCGTCTTGATTAATCCGGACCGACTCGCGTGGTGCACCTAGAAAATGGTGGGTGAATCTTCTCGACGAAGATTGCTACGTACACAAAGTTTCGAACTCGAAACCTTACATAAGTTAGAACAAGTCACTTACTACTTGATCAAACCCCTCATTGGTCATTAAGAATCATGTTAACTGTATATATGCAACGTTTTGGTATTTAGATGTTGAATTTTAATATTGTGTAAA